GCATTTGAATAAATAACTAAATTAAAAGAAAAAATAAAATAAAGAGAATTTTTCTCATCTCCTTCCCTTTGATTTCCTTATAACCAAATAAAGATTTTTTTTTTCACTCCCCTCCCTTATGATTTTTTTAAACCAAAAAGAGAACTTTCTACCCTCCCTTCCACTTCTCTCCATTTCCTTCAATCAAAATATACTAGTAGTTTTTTTCTTAAGGATAAAATAGATAAATACATGAATTGTCTCCAAATTTTTAATTCAAAGAAAAAGTAAAAAAAAAATAGAATAAAAAGAGTATTAATTATATTTTTTTACAATTAATTTACATAAAAAAGAAATTTATTTTAAATTTATCAACTATGTAATTAAAATAATTCACATGATATCGGTGTCAAAAATAATGTTTTTTTTTTATAAAAATATATTATAGAAAAGTACAATTAATATACACTTAATTTATACCCTTAGAGTAAAGTTAAAATAATTCTTAATGTTATTTTTTTTATATAAAAGAATTTTATTTTTATATAAATTAATGTTAAAAATATATTAATTATATCACCTTAGAGTAAAGTTAAAATAATTCTTAATGTTATTTTTTTTATATAAAAGAATTTTATTTTTAATATAAATTAATGTTAAAAATATATTAATTATATCATTAACTTGTTTCTTTAAAACTAGAGCACTTTAAAACTAGAGCACGTGTTAAAATAATTCTAATAAAATCTTACAAGATGATGTGATGTTACTTAATAAAATCTTACAGGTAATAATAAATATTATAACCACTTATTTGGTAGATGAACACTGGTATAGATTTATTATTTTTATTGGCTCTTTTAACTTAATAGAACACATTATATTGCATATATTTATAATATGGGATTTCTAACTTCACTAATTAGGGTCTTTGTAATTAATTGTACACAAGTTTTTATTCAAAATTTAATTAAAATATAATATAATATATATACTCAAAATCTATAAAAATATATGAATTTGACATGAAAAATTATACAAAATTAATTATAAATACTATAATTAATGAGGATAAGAGTACATATATATTAGA